TATAGTTGATTGGTTATAATGACACTTTTTAGCTAGCATAAAAAAAACAAGTTCGATTTTAAGAAAAAGTTAATTTTCAGAAACTTTGTTGAGCTACATCAGTGGCACATTTTGATAAAAGTTTGACAAAAAGTGACTCGATAGTTTTGGCGTGGTTTTTGACCATTTGAACACCGAATATTATCTTTTTTGGGTCCAAAACTTTGCCTCTGTCTTTTTGCTTGCAGTCAACCCTGCTCGAGAAACAAAACTTGTTGTAATTAAATTTCAGTTTCAAGTGTTCATCCGAAAAATTTCTATCAGCGCCTTACAAGAAGCAGAAATTATCCAATAAGAGCCATTTTCATATTCCTATTTGAATTATTTTGAAACTCAGTTTTTTCTACTACTTTAAAAATCTGTAAAAACAAAATACAAAAAGTTTTGATTTTTTTATTCTAGCGTTTTTTTAATTTTAGGTGAAAAATTGTGAAAAAACTTTATGGATAAACAAAAAGTCAATTTTTGTCCCCATTTTTTTTAAATTCAGCCCCATTGAATGAAGAAAGAAACTCTTGATTTTTGGTCAGTCTTTATTAACAATTTGAAAACCAAATCCAATTTCTTAACTTGATCTCCCTCTAATTGATTATATCATCTGTTCGAGTCCGTCTAATTTATCCGATAGCTCTTAAAGGCTCCGAGTTTACTGGTCCGGCGTTGTTCATGCAGGATTTTTTCCATTCTTTTTAGTTTGTTTTAGATATGCAAATTCAAGTTTTTTATTTTTTATTGTGAGCAGGCGTTATCTCAATTTTTTGTGAGAGTAATCATCTAAAACATCTAGAAGTTTAGTAACTCATGGCTATTATTTCCTTTTTTAGTATTTTGAATATGAAACTGAATCTTCTCTCTGTCAAACTATTTTTTGCCCGGAGAATTTCATTTAAACTTTTGTAGTTATGTTTTGAATAAACAAAGCATGATTTTTTTCTAAAACAAAATTGAAGCAAGCATTTTTCTACAAGAACAAAAAACATATGAGGAGGCACTCTTTGAGGCTTTTTTTGTGTTTTTGATCCAATCAGCATCCAAGTTCAGGATTCTATATCACAAACGAAGAAGATATTTTTTCTTTTTGCTCCAGTGAAAACGTTTACGTCCGTTTTCTGAGTACTCTACTTTACATCCCAGAAAAACTCAACAAAGTACCCAATTTTCTTGTAGCTTAACAAATACTTAAAAATGTTTAATCTCCAGATTTTTTCAAATCAAACTTAATAAATTTGGCAAGTTCAAAACTGGCAAAATTACAGAAGGAAAAATTCAATGATATAAATGTTGACTCCAAAGAAAAACTGGAATGAACTATAGTGACTCGGACAACCTTACTTTGAAAAGGTTTCGATTGCTTTTCAATCTATAATACGATTAAAGTACGCTTCAAATTTTTGGTTGTTTTTCAATGTGTCATTTGATAATTTAAAGACAAAAAACTTTTGGTTTTTCGATAAAATAAAAAGGTTTGGAAAAAACAGATGCTATTTATTCGTTTTTGAATTTCACAAAATGTTTTGGACTCTGCAAATGTTGTTAAAGTTTCTGCAAAGTCGGCTGCTTTTGGAGCGATTCTGAGTATTACAATATTTTAGCTCTATGATTGTGGAATCCAGGACAGCAAAAAATCAAATAAAAAAGCTGTGTCGCGGATTTCGCGACAAATCTGCTGTGAGCCTGTTAAGTTATCGGTTGCCCTAAACCCATATTACAAAGTTTAAACGAATTTACTAAATTTGAAAATTTCATTCAATTTCAAATAAGTTCTTCAACTGTGTCTTGGGATTTTCCTTTTCAAAAAACATGTTTCTGATTTTTAAAGTTTTTATACGTTACTTTTTGTGTTAATAGTTAAAATGATAGAGTTTGTACTGGTAAAACTGAAAAAAAAAATCTTTAACTAAATGTAACTATTCCAATTATTAGTACGATTTTTTTGAATGAGAAAAACAAACTGCTGATTTAAATTTACCGCAAAAATGAACAAAAATGTGTCCTTAAGACAAATTGTTCCCCAAACTGAATAAGTTTTAGACCGAAAAGGATAAACGAAATTAAATTCCCTGAAGTTTAAGCAAATTTGATATGAAGCAACTCATTTTAAGAAGTTTGTGACCACAAACATTTTACCACGAAAAGATTTCTTTTTTGTCTTCTTGTGTCTATCCAATAGAAGCCAAACTATATCAAACTGAGCCTATAGTCTGTCCATCAAAATCGTTTTAGAAATAGTCTCCAAAAACTTGTAAGAAAATACGTTTGTTTTTGTAATTTGTTTTTAAGTTCAAAACTCATAGTTGATTTGTTAAAATGACACAATTTGGTTAACATAAAAAACAAGTGCGATTTTAAGAAAAAGTTACTTTTCAGAAACTTTGTTGAGCTACATCAGTGGCTTATTTTGATAAAAGTTTGACAGTAAGTGACTCAGTAGTTTTTGCGTGGTTTTTGACTATTTAAACACCTAATATTATCTATTGTTGGGTTCACTTTTGAGGCCCACTTTTTGCAAAACAAAATGCACCATACTAAGTTTGCTAAAAAAATTAAGCAAAATTTGGCCTCTATCTTTTTGCTTGCAGTCAACCCCGCTCGAGAAAAAAAATGTGTTTCAATTTTCAGTTTTAAGTGTTTCGTCAGGATAATTTCTATCAGCACCGTACAAGAAGCAGAAATTATCCGATAAGAGCCGTTTTCAATTTTTCTTTTTGATTTTTTTTTGAAATTAAGTTTTTCCAGTTCTTTTTGCCAGTGTAAAAAAAACTGTAAAAACAAAAAACAATAAGTTTTTTTATTATTTGAAGCGTTTTTTTTAGCTCAAGTGCCAAACTGTGAAAAAACAAGCTGTCAGCCTGTTAAGTTATCGGTTGCCTTAAACCCATATTATAAAGTTTAAAAAAATTTACTATATTTGAAAGTTTTATTCAATTTCTAATAAGTTCTTCAACTGTGTCTTGAGATTTTCCTTCTCGAAAAACCTGTTTCTGATTTTTAAAGTTTTTATACGTTACTTTGTGTGTTAGTAGTTAGTGTGATAGAGTTTGTTTATTTAATAACTTTAAAAGATTGAAGAAGAATTTCACCGATGAGTTAGACTTCAAACGAAGTGTCTCTGGCCAGTTTTTTTTATTAGATTCGAAGAAGAACTTCGAATTGAATTCGAAGTTCTTCTTCGAATTCAATTCGAAATCAATAGGGCTTTAGTGTAACGCCACAAAATCTCGGTAGATTGCCTTAGTCAGCTTAGATTATCAATGTCTTTTATAGTGACCATAGAATAGCAGTAAAACGAAAAGTCTGCTGAAAATTTCAAAAAAGCGAGATTTCGGTTTTTGTTCAAACAAAAAACGTTCAAACTGTTGAAAAACAGGTGCCAAGTTTTTAGCACGCGCTCTACAAAATTAAGAAAAAATCTGCTTCAAACAATATGCCTATACTAATGCCTAATATACTCAAACCTACTAAAAATTTGGTTCACATCATTGAAAATTTAGTTTAATTTATCTGTTGATTTAGGTTCCGAGCGCTTACAAGCTTTAGTACTTTTGAAAAGGATGTTTGACTACCTGAAATCAGATCTTAAGAATTACATTCAAAATGAGACCAAACAAATAGGACTAAAACAATTGAGTCTATCTTCTTGGAAGCGACTTTGGCTTTATACTTTATTGTACTTTTTTTGATTAATGCACTCTATAAGTTAATCGTGTATCAATCACAATCGCGAAAGAGGCTGTGAATTATAAGTAGAAAGAAATTAAGTTTTAACGCATAAAGAAATAAGTTAAAGGTCTAATTGATCGTGTTTGCTCAAATTTTTGGAACACAAAACCCAATTTTTATTATGCTTATTCAAATTTCTCAAGCATTGTGAAGACAGTTTTTGTGGTCTTAGACTTTTCTTACTGCAAAAATATTTTAAAGATACATCTTCAAAATAAGTTTGAGAAGACATGGGTTTTCTTTCTGTTTGGTTACTGTTTTGCGGAACTAACAGACTGAGATAAAATTGGTTCCAGAAAACGGAAAAATGGACTCATTGATGCAAAAATGTACCAGTCTCAGCTCAAATAAAACCTCCATTTCATCGAGCAGTTCTTTATTTGACTTGGTTTTAACGTTTTTTCTTTTTCTGAGACCACTTTAAATGAAAAAGTTAATGAAGAATTATTTAACTTACTAGGGTGCTACTTTCGGTTTACACACAAAATTTTCACAAAGTAAAATTTTGAGTTGATTTATTTATAAAAGGGAGGGAGAAGGAGTACATCTAGAAAAAAGTGAGTAATGGTAAATTGTGATAATTTTTGGAATGGAAAATTGAAACGTGACATGGTATCATTCCTAGTTAATACGTTAATTTATGTTGATAGTATCAGTTTCAAGTTGGATACTTTTCTGAGAAAAACAGCATTACCAGACGTTTTTGAGTCATTTTTTACGTCTAGGATGTTCACAGACTTTCAGAAAAATCAAAATCATCTCGCGACTCTGATGCGAGCTGAGTTGTTTTTGTTTTTTAAAATGCATAACCCCTGTTGAACGTTAATTTCCAGATTGGTGTGAGGTTAAGACTCTAGAGTAATAACACTTTGCAAATGTCTTCTGATATATAGTTATTCTTCCTAATTCGAAACATCTACTACTGAACAACAAGATTTCTAGTCGATTGCTGTGAAAATAGCAGAAGTGTTTCCGGTTAATTCGACACACTTTTTAATGGAAAACAAGACTTCTCGCTGGTTGCTCTAGAGTTAGCAAAATTTATTCCAATTACGTTTGTTATTTGAAACAGTTCCAAAAACTGTGAAAGTTTCTTTTACTTGTAATAAGTTTTTCAAATGTTTTTTTGCTCTTTCTTTTTGATTTTTTAAAAGTTTTTTATTAAGTTAGTTCCTATGATTTAAAATAAGGTTACCGATATCATTCTTTTTCAAGTTATGAGGATTAAACTAGAAACTTACCGACGATTTAGTTTAACATTGAATTTCAAGGTCTCTGGCCAGTCTTCTTGGCTGGAGAATCTAAAAAACAGAAAAATTCTAACTTATTTTTCTAAGAATTGAAATCAAAATCAATAGGGATTCAATTTATTGCCACACGACTTCAGTGATATTGACTGAAACAAGACGCACAATACGGCGTAGATCTTTCCAGTCAATTGATCAGTGTGCCGGACCCAAATCAGAAGATCTTTATCAAACTTTGAGTTCAATTTGTCAGAAAAAAGGAGATCAGTTGTATGGTTCTTATTCTCAAAAATTGGGTTTTTTGTGTCCGTAGAAAATGAATAAAAATGTAGGAGCGATTTAGAGAAAAAAAACTGCTGACTGAATTTTAAAAAAGAACTTCAACTATTCGAAAGAGCTACCGAAAACACACGCTCCCGTTTGTTATATCCTTGAAAATTTATAGGTGAAAAACTTGTTTTACTCACCTGGTGATTAATTTTCCGAGGGCTGATAAGCTTGAGGAGTATTGAAGAGGCTGACTGACTACTTAAAATCAGATCTAAAGAAAAAATGCTTTTAAGATGATACCAAAACAAAGAGGATTAAAAGAATTAAGTCAACGTTCTTGGTAGTAGATTTAGCCTTATACTTCAATGTATTCAATGCACATACTTATTTTAAGCACCAATTTATTACTAAGATAATCGCGGAAGGGGCAGAATATTGCAAATAGAGAGAAAAATGTTGAGAACGCAGAGAGACAAAAATTTTTCAAAAAAATGGGAATGGAAGAAATCGCTAATGCAAAAATGTTACAAATTAAGCTCAAAATAAATTCAATTATTTTTCCAGCAAATCCTGCGTGCCTATTGGATTCAATTTCTAGATCATGTTTCATCTTTCGAAAATAATCAATCATTTTTAAAAAGTTTTTGGAGAAATAATTAACTTGATTGAGGCTCAATTTCGGTTTGCATATAATTTTTTTACTCAGCAAGTTTTTTAGTTCATCTTTTCACAATAAGCGTGAGAGACAACGGGCACGTTCAGCAATGTTGTGGTTAGAAATAAGTTAAGGGTCATTATTGGGGGATGGAGGAGGGGTTGTGGTTGTGAGCGTTCAAACTCAGCTGTACTGTTAAAAATTTGGGAGAAATCAAAATTTAGCAACAGATAGGCTTAAGTAAGTCAAAAAGTGTTAGAGACGGGGAGTAAATTTAGAAACAAACGTGGGCAGGTGTCAATTGAGGGCAAGTTTTGGAGGGCGGTTAAATAGAGCGTAAATTTTTTGTTGGGTTTTTTATAGTTTTGGGGATATCGTTTTGCATGAACTCTACAAATGTGAAGATTTAGAAATAGAGTAGGTCATAACTAATGCCAAAAAGTGGGGTTTTTTCAACTAGGTTCACTGAACGTTGGAACAGATTCTGATTAAAGTTTTTAAATGAATTGCAATTATTTTAACGTTTATTTAAACCCGTTTGAAGTAGTTAAGGAGTAAAACTTATACATAATCAGTGGAAATGTGTGTTAGTGATTGTTGTTCATTATGGATGATGTTTACAATTGCAGTTAAGTTTCTATCTTATTTTTTTTCTCTGAGTTTTTTCTATTTTTTTGGTTTCTTCTGTTATTATCGCGGGTTACACAGCCAGGGACTCGGCTTTTCTGCCAGAAGCTCAAGAGTCCAGGTAACATGAGTCTTTCAAAAATCTTGCCACAAAGTCTAAGATTTCTTTTTTCAAAACTTTTGCAAAAACGCACTTAAAGCTATTAGTTCTCCTCAAAAAAACTTGACTGAAACAAAAGAAGCGTAAGGTTGATTTACTATGAAGCAAAAATTCTGGGAAAAAAAGGCCTGGATACCTGGTTGATATGCTACTTTACCAAGAAAATCAAGAAATTTACAAAATTTTTAAACAATTTCAAAATGTTGCAAAATCATTTCTATGCTCAAACAAATATTTTACCATTTTTTGCGCGCAATTTTCTGTCTATAACAAAGTCAAGACTTCTGTTTTCGCACAAAACAATCAACAAATGCAAGTTGCATTTTGTGTAAAGTCACAACCGCTGTTTTTGATGAGTTTTCAAGAGGCACGATAGAACTTAACTGCCGAAAAAAACAACCCAATTTGTTCAAACACCAATTTTTTGACAGTAGACCGATCCTGGAAGTGCAGAGAAGTCTTTTCAAGTATTTGAATTTTTTTTTCCTCTGGTTAGGCATAGTCGTAATATGCCTCGGGAATAAGATTCCATAAACAGGCAACCTAGGATTAGCTCTTAATAATTCACAACCAAAAATTAGTACTCTTTGACTCAAATCTTTCAGTATAAAAGAATGAGCAAATTCCAACCTGAAAATCCTGAACTTGAACTTGAACTTGAAAAACAGAAACAGAATGAATTATACGATTAGGTTGAATTAAAGTTCTAGCTCTAATTAAGGTCGCTGATTCAGAAAAATAGCTGATGCTCTGTTACGGTTCCGTTAGTCAAGAACTATACGGGAAATTCCAACACAGTCCTTTGCCCTTTCAATTTGGAAAAAATTGCCGAATAAACTTCATTCAAAAAGCCTTCAAGTTCACCTTACTAACATAAAAAATGGCTGCTTATTACATTTGGTGCTTTTTGTTTGATGCTTTTTGTTTTGTTTTAACAAACAGTTGTTGCAACCAACAAATAGCTGGTGATTTTTGTTTTAAATAGAATGACCGTACAAATAAAAGATCAATGAAATTGCAAAAAATCTGGCAAAGTAATGACTTTTTTAATTAATTGCAAAGTATTCTGATTAATTGCGCTAAGTGTGATATGGTCCCGTAACTACGATGGATGTTTTATTTTCAACTTTTGTTGCAAAATTCAACTCTTCGTCTGCTTTTTCTTTTTACTCCGACTTTCGTAACGAAAGAAACAGAATATTTGTGCTCTGAGTGGGCTTTTTTCTTCCAATAGTTTTCAACTTCTTAACTAGCCTGTTTTGACGGATTTCTCAGAATATTATTCAAAAGGAATAGTTGTCCTTAGCTTAAATTTGAAAAAGAAAAAATACGCCTGTGATTATTTTTTGTAAAGTTATAGGGGTTCAAAGATTGCCATTTTAGTCGATTTCGGACAATTGAAGCGCAACATATACCGCGCTATTGACGCTATTTAATCCGTCTTTGAAATCGTTCCAAAATGGTTGGATGAAGCTTAATTGCCATTATTGACGTGTTAGTAGGAGCGAAATTTTTAGCTTTCATTTTTATATGGCGTGTGTGGTATGATTTTCACAAAAAAATTCATTACTTTTTATTCATTACGTTTAATGTTTTTTTTTGATTTTCCTGCTGAATAGACCCTAAAAGGCAGTCGGAATTTTTAGAGCTTCGACCTGATACGTGCATTTTTGTTTTTTTTTGTCTAGTTGTCGAAAAAATTTGAAAGCGTTTTAATAGATTGTTAGAAACTTTAAAAAATTCTTTTGTCAAATTCCTGTTTTAAATTTTTTTTTCGATCTTCCGCAAATTCACCAAAAATATAAATTTTTTCGTTTTATATTTCCAATTTCGGTGATATTCATGAATTGGATAAGATAAGTTAAACAGAAGTAAAACATTGTGCAATCTTATGGTAACACAATTCTAAATTGCAGATTTTGGTTAATTAAATTCCAGCGAGTTTTTCTGTTCGTTTTTAATCTAATTTTTTTATGTGAAAATTCTAAAACTCGTTTTTTTTTTAATAAGTTTGTGAAATTTTCTTCGGTTGATTCTGTTATTGGAACTGTATGACAAGCATTTATTCCGTATGGAGGTTGAACCCGGATGGATAGCCAGCTGTGTTTCGATGATTAAATTTTAAGATCATAAAAGTTTTTCACCTCGTTTTCTTTGCAGTCTTAGAAGAAAAAAAAAACAATTTGTTTCAATGCCGTAATTTTAACTTCCGGGTTGACCAGAAATGCTAGTCATACAATATTAATATATGGAAAAATGCTCATCATACACTTTTACTTTAAAGACAAAAAATTGCATGAAAGGTCTATGACTAGTGATTTTCCATTAATGGAAATTTTATGACTAGAATTTTCCCAATAAACAAAAATATTGAGTTTTTTTGCTTTTTAATTTCATTTTAACTAGTAGCCGAACACAAGTGACTTTACTTTGGTCACTCAAAGTAATGTAACCGAATTCTTCACCGTCTCGCGTTAAAAATGCATTGGAAATCGCCTAAAAAGTCTTAATTCTGTCTTACTCAAATAATAAAATAACGGAAGTATCAAACTTTTAAACTTTGGCAAAAAGTTTCATCGATGATTACCTTAAAAGTTTGAATTTTTAAAATATCAGAAATTGATGACGGCATTTATAAACACGCAATGCAAAAAAAAATATGAGGTTTCAGCGTTTTTGAAAAAAACTTAATATGCAAAAAGAAAAAAAAATCCAATATTAGTGTATCCAGGATAACGTTATGCACACAAAAAAATAAACTTTACATGCAAAAAAATTTGAAAGCGTTTTAATAGATTGTTAGAAACTTTTAAAAAATTCTTTTTGTCAAATTCCTGTTTTAAATTTTTTTTTCGATCTTCCGCAAATTCACCAAAAATATAAATTTCTTCGTTTTATATTTCCAATTTCGGTGATATTCATGAATTGGATAAGATAAGTTAAACAGAAGTGAAACATTACGGCTTCACTTTTGTGAAAACAGGAAAACAATCCATAAATTCTGAAAACACATTGGTATTTATTTGATTAAAACGACGTTTCTTTGATATCTTAGCAGATTTCATTAGTAATAGTCATTGGAGTCCATATAGAAGTTTATTTGTTTATTTGGTATGCTTGTAAGGTTTACTTGGCGTGGAACCCGTTCTTTTAGTGATGGTGATTTCTTTTTTTGTGTGTTTTAAAAACCCAGATTAATGTGCAATCTTATGGTAACACAATTCTAAATTGCAGATTTTGATTAATTAAATTCCAGCGAGTTTTTCTGTTCGTTTTTGTTCTAATTTTTTAATGTGAAAATTCTAAAACTCGCAATTTTTTTTAAATAAGTTTGTGAAATTTTCTTCGGTTGATTCTGTTATTGGTACTGTATGACAAGCATTTATTTCGTATGGAGGTTCAACCCGGATGGATAGCCTGCTGCGTTTCGATGATTAAATTTTAAGATCATAAAAGTTTTTCACCTCGTTTTCTTTGCAGTCTTAGAAGAAAAAAAAACAATTTGTTTCAATGCCGTAATTTTAACTTCCGGGTTGACCAGAAATGCTAGTCATACAATATTAATATATGGAAAAATGCTCATCATACACTTTTACTTTAAAGACAAAAAATTGCATGAAAGGTCTATGACTAGTGATTTTCCATTAATGGAAATTTTATGACTAGAATTTTCCCAATAAACAAAAATATTGAGTTTTTTTGCTTTTTAATTTCATTTTAACTAGTAGCCGAACACAAGTGACTTTACTTTGGTCACTCAAAGTAATGTAACCGAATTCTTCACCGTCTCGCGTTAAAAATGCATTGGAAATCGCCTAAAAAGTCTTAA